ATGAATAATGTCTGAAGTGATGAAGTCAGGAGGATGTTAACTCGCACTGCAGTTCAGTGAAATGCGAGTCGCACTTTGGCGTAAAGTTAAATGTGACAGCCAAGGGACTTTCTGAGAAAACTGTACAGTATTAAAGGAACATTTATATGATACACAGGAAGTTTCCTTTGGCAACAGTTACTTCCAAGCATCAGCTAGGTCAGTGCGGGTAGTTCTGTTTGAAAGAGCAGCAAAAGCTCGAGAGGTGGAGGTGGCAAAAATCACAAGTTGCTTCAATAAATGTCAATTGTTTTTGATAAGTTGTACTCCATGGATTCTACCCATTTCTACAATATATTACCAAAAGTATTCACTCACCCATTCAAACCATTGATTTCAGGGTTCCAATCACGCCTATGGACACAGGTCTGTAAAATCAAGCACCTAGGTATGCAGATTGCTTTCACAAACATTTGTGAATGAATGGGTCGCTCTCTCAGGAGCTCAGTGAATTCCAGTTATGAAAATTTCTTGCTACTAATTATTCCACAGTCAAATGTTAGTGGTAATGTAACAAAGAGGAATGACAGCGTCTCAACCATGAATTGGAAGGCCACATGAAATCACAGAGCAGGGTCAGTGGATGCTGAGGCTCACGGTGCGCAGGTGTCATCAACTTTCTGCAGACGTCCAAACTCCGTGCGGACTCCAGATTAGCTCAAGAACAGTTCATAACGAGCTTCATGGAAGGGGTTTCCATGGTCGAGCAACTGCAACGGTACTTGTGTGACTGCATTGTGACAGGAGTAAAGTTTGGTGGAGGGGAGATTATGGTGTGGGGTTGTTTTGCAGGAGTTGGGCTCGGTCCCTTAGTTCTAGTAAAAGGAACTCTTAATACTTCAGCATACCAAGACACTTTGGACTATTTCACACTCTTAACTTTGTGGGAACAGTTTGGTAATGGCCCCTTCCTGTTCCAACATCTCTGTACACCAGTCCACAAAGCAATGTCCCAAAAGACATGGATGAGCGAGTTTGGAGTGGAAGAACTTGACTGGCCTGCACAGAGTCCTGACCTAAACCTGAAAGAACAGCTTTGGGATGAATTAGAGCGGAGACTGTGAGCCAAGCCTTCTCGTCCAACATCAGTCTGACATCACAAATGCCCTTCAGGAAGGATGGTCAGAAATTCCCATAAACACTCATAAACCTTGTTTATATCATAATAAACCACATGGATTAAAATGGGATATCACTCAGGTTCATAAGTGTGCGAAGGCAAACGAGCAAATACTTTTGGCAGCATAGCATATTTGAGGTGCTCTTTGGAAGGGATATATATAGGCTTGAATATCAAAAACTTCAAGATACTCTTTTCAAAATAAAATTAAAATGTCTTTATTTTCACAACAAGGTTATGTAAAAACTCCAACGCAGTTTGGCACACAGGCCCACATCAGGGAATAAAATAGAGTCCATGAATCAACTAAATATTTTCTATTAATATTTCACCAAAAAGGGCCTTCCATGCGGTGTGTTCTACTAATAGCAAGCTTCCACCTAAGGGTGAAGCCAGTGAAGCCCCACCAACAGGAGATGTCTTCAAAGAGCCCAGATAGATAATAACATCAAGTCAAACATTCATCCAAATTCATTTCATGTCAAACTATAAGAACACAGTAAAACATTTACTGGGACCATTTGTGTTCTTGATAAATGTTTTGAAGAGAAACATGATTGAAACCAGTCATGTTTGTGTCCTAAGTGGAAACAGCTGTGAGCTAACATGTTCACCATTCCTACTGTGTAGACGGGGGGAAGGCAGCAGTGGTGTGTTTGCCATCTTGTTTTCATTTTTTATTTCTTGCTTCAGTTAACTCAGCTTTGAGAAACACTGAAGTCTGGATCCTGCGCTTCCCGACTGGCTGACAGTTATTTCAGCCTAGCTTAGTTTAGCTTTGTCAGGAAGACAACTAGTGCAGTTGCTTTTACCCAAAATGTTGTAAATCTGAACATAAAAAGGTTTCAGTTTTAAATACGTTTATCTTGTGTCCCTCATCTGGAACATCTTCTTCACTTTCTTGTTTCTTTGCCTTACATGACATATTTTATCCCATATCCAACATCCCCTCCACTCTTCCTCTCATTTTTCCTCTGCGTCACAGTGAAAAGTGAATAATTCATATATAGGCTGCATGCTGGTGGAGATGAATCATGTGAAAAGAGCAGGATACACGTGCTCCTCTGAGAGCAACTCTCAAAAGACCCCAGCAGTATATGAGGATTGGCTCCACACTCTGTCACAGTACTGTACAGACCTCAGCCACTCCATCCCAGCTTGCATGACAGTCACACGTGAGCTCAACACCAGCTTCTCTGCCCTCAGGACCCGGGCAAGAAGCCACCCAGAAAGACCACGAAGTAGCTTCTCTCTGCATTGTCTTTTCAGTAGATGTCTGTGTGTTCAGGCAGATATCATAACCTGTTTATCTAATAGTTGTTTTCATTCTCAAAATGAATTTAGGACAAACTCAGATCATTTTTAGGTCAAATTAAAAATCGGGACCAACAGGTTAGGTCCAAAGCTTTTTTTCTCCAATGGGCCGCATATTTCTGGGGATGCCCAGGCCTGTTTTGGAGCAATCTTTCTTGGGCTTATAGGAGAACACAGTTGACGCACACATGCACATGTACCATTAACACGAAGTCTCACAGCTAGATCTGTAAACACTGACAGTATTCAATCACACTTCACACCAGGGATGTCAACCTCATTTTACATTGTGGGCCACATTCAGACTACTTTAACCTTAAGTGTCCTGAACCAGCGACGCGTGATATTGTGTAAAATTACAGACTGTCAGATTGTCCCATCATTATAAAATATACAATTTATTTAATTAAACTTTTTATGCAAATCCCCTGTAAAAACAGCAAATAGTGAAAAATAGGAACTTTCTGTCACTTAATTGTTTCTTACTTAATTGAGGGGGGTTCTTTATCAATAGAAAAAGCTTTAAAGGTCATGAAAATATCCCCTCCTTCACATTTTCCAGAGCACCCCCCCACCCCCGGCTGAATCATCAGTAACAGTGTTGTTTTGAGTTTAAGAGACAAATTACTGAACTATCTTCTGATGTCATATCAGATAATAGATTTAAGAAAGCTGCTGCAGACTTGTAATATTTCTCCTGCAATCTGTTATTCACCCTGTTGACATGTTTGATTTATGGAACACAGAAAAAAAGCTCAGTTTGTGTCTACACAGAGTTCTGCGAGTTGTGTCTCTTTACTCCCACACACACTTATGTCTCTGGAGAAACTCTCTGCTAATGTCTAACTAAATGTGCGTGTGTGTCTTTATACTCCTGCTTGCCTGAGCTCTGCCTCTTGTGAAACTTGCCGTGTCCTGATGCACACGTGTATCCCTCGCAAAGTAGCAATTATTCATATGCAGGGACCCTCTAAATTTTCATCCTGTCACACTGTGTTATCAGACCGCGTGACTAAGCTGCAGCCACTGTAGACTGAGAAGCTCAGTGCTTAAAGTCTGCTCTGTCAGTTTGAGATAATTTGGTATTTGACAGATGTAACAGATGGGTGACATGTTAGGGGAAAAGCTTAACCTTTCACTCCTACAGTGTGATCAGCTGGCTCTATAGTGTCCCTTCAGAGGTAATGGTCACTGCACATCAATACAAAGTTGTTCTGAATGGTCACTTTTATCCTGCGATGCAACACTTCTGTCCTGATCACAGTGGCCTCTGTCTAAATGACACTATCCTCCACCCACAGGGGTTGAGGTGGTTTGATGAGGATGAAAATGATGTAAATCGTGCACTTTGAACTTCACAGTCACTGATCGTTAACCTAGCCAAACACATATGGGAGGTTTTGGACTCCCAAGACTCACATCAGCCCAGTAGAGTCGAAAAGACTTGGAAAATCTCTAGCAGCGTGTGGTTGACAAACTTTACCGAGACACTTCTTTTTTTCTTTTGTGCCTGTCAGTGTAATTAAAATTCAAGGTGTATAACAAAGAAGCAGCAGCCACAGAGAGATGTTATGACTCAGATTTGAATTCACTTTAGAAGATTGCTTCTCCCACACCGTTACTTTGAGAGAAAAAAAAAGATTATCTCAGGTTTTATTTTCCAAGCTCCAGCCTTCTTTTATAATAACATTGTACCCATCATAGTAATGATGATCACTCAGTCAGATGCAGACTTTCTAAACAAAAAACGAGGGTTTGTTTAGAAAGTCTAGCTTTGCAGAAAATGCATGTAATTGTCTTAGCAAGCCTACGCAGAGATGGGCATTATGCAACCACCAAGTCGCTGAGAGGCTTACAGAGTAAAACACCTTGTGCGCATTAAAGCAACCTGATTGGCTGATCCATCCAATAGTTTCACAGAGACATGAATCTTTGAGAAAGTTATTTTTTAAATTTTTTAAATTCACAGGAATATTTCACTAGAATGCACTCAAGACACCATCAAAGGTCTAGTACACTTAGTGCAGCCTAAAGCAGTGCTCTTAAAGCGTTCTCCTCAATAGCGTTCCTGCTGCAGAGTACCTTGTCTTATCAACCAACTAACTAGATATCGGTCCACATTATGCCACGCTGAGCCCAAAGCAGCTGACTTCCTGTGAGGACTATGATTGAATCCTTGGAAGCTGTTCCTTTGCCTTTGCCTAAAGGTTTAAAGCATGTACCAGATAATTGAAACGTCCACTTTAAATATTATCATTATCTTTGTTGCATATCACTGTCCTGTCCCTGCCTTCCCATTGCACCTGCCTCTTGGCTAAAAACTAAATAATCCCACAAAATAAAATAATTCCAAGTTTTTCTATTTACATAAATCATGAAGATTCATTGCCCAGCATCATCAAATACTTATTAGTCAGGTGGTAGTGACCGTGTTGAAAATTATGATTATGATGTGTGTCTTGGTGGTAATGTAGGATGTGCTTGTTTGTCCCAATAAGGTTCTCCTGCTTTTTCTTTGCCTTCTTAGATCAGCCGCTGCCTGAAGCCTGGAGGTCGGTTTGTCTCCGTTACCTTCGCCCAGCCTTTTTTCAGGAAACGGCTCTATGCCCGTACGGAATATAAATGGTCCATCAAACATCAAAGTTATGGAGAAGGCTTTGAATATTTTGTGTATGTCATGACCAAAGGGGAGAAGCTCAGCCCGGAAGATGCAGCTCTGGAGAAAAAGCTGCTGCGGGATACAGAATCTCCACCAACCAGGATTACTACAATAACAAATGATGATAAGGAAGACTTCCTGGCTAATATTGACCTGTAGGGTGACTCTGATATGTAGGATTGCCTTTATAAGTAATCTTTATATTGTGATTTTTTGCAACGGGAAACTGTTAACCAAATTTCTGGCCTTACTGTTTTTATGTATTTATTAAGAATTTGTAAGGAGTAACTATTTTATACTGTTTGATGTACTAGATATTAGTTTTAAAGTCAAATTTTATCAAGATACCGATATATATTTGGATAAATGTTCTGCAAATGTAATTAAGATGTTGTAAAGATAAGAGAACTGCTGTATAAATGGTAATTGAAATCCATATTTTATCTAAAAGTTTGAGACAAAATCCTGCGTCTGACCAGATGTATTCACAATAGATTAGATTAGATTAGATTAGATAGAACTTTATTAATCCCTCGGGTGGGTTCCTCTGGGAAATTCGATTTCCAAAAAAGCACAGCACCGACAGAAGTTACAGAGTTACAGAATATTATATATATATATATATATATATATATATATATATATATATACACACACACACACACACACACACACACACACACATATATATAAATACAGAGACAATATAAATAAAATATACGAAGGGGATAAATAGAATAAATAGGAATAAAAATAGGAATAAAAATAAAAATACAAGTGAATTGCACATTTCAAGTATTGTTTAATAGTTTAATAGTTTAATAGACAAACTTGTGCCTTTTGTCGTTTTGAAAACATGATTAACAAATGTTACTCTTAATAAATTTCTCATTTGCAAAGAAAAAAAATGGCTAACTGATCTGTTGTCTCAATTCTTCACGGCTCAGATTCAACAAGGTGCTGGAAACATTCGTCAAATCCCATCTCAGAGTTGCTCTGTTGGATTGAGATCTGATGACTGAGGAGGCCACAGCAGCACCATCACCACCCTGAACTGTTAACAGAAGGCAGGATGGATTCATGCTTTCATGATGTTTACACCAAATTCTGACCCCACCATTCAAATGTCACAGTCGAAATCGAGGCTCATCAAACCAGGCAAAGTTTTCCAGTCTCTTATTTTCTAGTTATATTAAGACTTTTTGAACAACTGGCACCCAGTGTGGTCTTCTGCTGCTATAGCCCATGTGCTTCAGAGATGCTCTTCTGCATACCTTGGTTGTAATGAGTGCTTCTTTGAGTTGTTGTTCCTGTCAGCTTGAAGCAGTCTGGCTATTCTTCTCTGACCTCTTGCATCAACGAGGCATTTTGACCCACAGAACTGCCGCTTACTGGAAACTTTCTCTTTCCCGGATCATCCTCCCCTATGTGGGAAAATCCCAGAAGAGTATTGAGTTGTCTGATATTTCAAAAATGCATCACATTCCCCAAAGAGGCAAAAAAAACTTGGCCTAATTTCTTTATGAGTTCAAACTTGCCTTCTCGTACATACAAGAAAAGAGTGGGAAAATCTTGTGATTTCCCAGATTCGGGCAGATTAAAGCTAGGACACGAATGATTTGGAGCTCTCACTTTTGCACCATTAAGTGTGATTTCTATCAAGAGTAAGTTTGCCTTTATTCCAAAGATTTGGACATTATGAGAGAGAGACAAGACAGTTGGACGCAGAGGAAACGCAAAGACAGTTTTATTGTCCTTTAGGTGATAAAATTTGATTAAAAATGTGTAAAAAATATAGATAATATGATCCAGTGATGACTTAATGGCTGCCCTCTCCTCAAACTGAAAGACCTACACAGTTCCCGCTGCCTCAAAAGAGCCCATAACATCATAAAGGACACCTCACACCCTGGACACTCCATGTTCGAACTGCTGCCTTCAGGTAAACGGTATAGAACAACATACACAAGGACTAACAGACTCAAACACAGTTTCTACCCAATTGCAATATCATGTCTCAATGCTACTAAAAGTAGATGACTTTCATTGCCCCTGTTGTCATTTGTGCCCTTGATGTTGGAATGCTTTCAGACATGTTTTGTTGGATGCGCTAACAAATTGATTGAGTGATTGATTGTTTGAGTGATATATCAACTAGGTCGTATGTTGAGTGTCTGTATGGGGCCTTAGGCCTGGATTGCTTGGGTGTATCTACGGTATGAGAATACTGTATTTTATATGTATTTCTATCTTTTATATCCTATCATTATAGTTTTTAAGTATTTAATTATAGTTTTTAAGTATTTATCTTTTGTGATGTTGCACTGACCAGAGACATCTTTCAATTTCATTGTACCTGTGACAATGACAATAAAGAATATTCATTCATATTCATTCATAACTGCTGTGCACACAGGTAGACTCACTGAATGTCTCTCACTGTCTTAGACCATATAGAAAGAAAATAATAGAAACAAATGTCTCTCAGTGAACAGCGATGATTGATAACCACCTTCACCTTTTCTCATAATTACAACATCAGGAACTTGTAATTACGAGAAAATTGTTATACTTGTAACAGAGCTGGCTTTCCTGTCATTATGAGATACAGAAGACACACTCGAATTATGTAAGATAAGACTTCCTATTTGAATGTGGAGAATGCGCTTCCACAGGAAACCAAGTAACCGTCCTGCCTCTGAGGCGGACTTTTGTTCATTTTTAACATGTTTATTGCTGCGTCAATTAGTGTAATTATGACATCATCAAGAAGGATTTGTTCATAGGTTAACTGTGACTCATGGTGCGACTTCTTTCTGTGTTAATATGTTCCGTCTGTGCTGCTACTACACCAGCTTCGGCTCTTCTTCAGTTCGTAATTGAAACTTTTATCATTTATAAACCAATTTCACATCCCAGTGTCATGCCTGTCTCGACAATATATCAGGATAGTTCAGCGATCTCTGCATTCTGGAGTGCAGTACTAGTCTGCCAATGTTATGCAGATTGCAAGACAAGCTGGCATGTCTAGACGTAGTGCATACCAACAGCAGCAACAGCCTGCATGTAAAGTAACTATTAGAGTCTATCAATATGTCAGTCACAGTCTCCCCTTTCTGTTGGGGTTGTTTGCATGAGCCCCGTGTCTGCTTTAGATTCCAGACAATCGCTGCTAATGGAGATATGCATATTTGACACACCTTTGTGCACATACAAATGTACATACAAGTAATAGCTTGCCCTGCGTGCGATTTGTTGAGGATACATGAGATGAAGTGCAGGTCCTATGATCTCTGCTGCTTAAATATAGACAGGAGAGAGAGGGGAGCGAGAGCACCAGGCGTGCAGACAGACAGGAAGGCTGGTGACTGGAGGGGGGGACCACATTAATAAAGTAGAAATCATTTATTTTTAATTCTCCACTGAGATCTAATTACTGCCTATTTTTAAAACGTGGAGGAAAAAAGAGGTGTGTGATTTTTTTTCTATGCCTTTGTGTTCAATCTGTTTTTTGTTGTTGTTGAGTATCACCAGTTTATTATTATTGTTGTTGTTTTTAATAAACCGTAGCTTTGGTTTCTGAGTTTGAGGTTACAAAACAGCCTCACCTCAAGCTTTGCTTCACAGCTTCTCTGGAGCTTTTCATCTTGTCATTCCCGAGGAAAGAGTTCCCCCGCTTGTTGATGAATTAACTGATTCATGATTGTTTCAAGTGTTGTTTCCTTGAATGTAATCACTCTTAACAAAATAAATAACATAAAAAATTTGTGCCATGGTTTTGATTTTTCCTTTCGAAACTTGTCTTCTTTTTGGTTGTTCTTTTCCCCTCAGGTTTCTTAGATGGGGTCTCCTGTCATTGCTGTTTGTGTCTCTGCCTTGTTTTGTTTGTCACTTTCTTTATGCATGTTCAGCTCTTTTGCATTTACTTGTTGCCTTCCTTGTTGTCTTCCTTGGCCTCATTGGTTTCTCCTCTGCCTTGTTTCCCTGGTATTTTTCCTTTTCCGAGTCTATCCTGTTTTCCCACTTGTGGGCTAACCTGTACAACACAGCAAGTTCAACATATCCAGGATATAAAAGAATTCATGTTAGCAGCTTAAGACGAGTCAGAAACATGGACAGGTCTACTGGCAGCAGAGCAGCAAAATTTGTAAAGGAAGAGCAAACTATAAGAAAAATCAGAAGAATTAAAAAATATCACGCAAGTATTAAAAAAACCACTAAAACAAGGTGTGGGTGATAGAAAAGCACTACGTGCACTGTGTAAGCTTTATCGTAATATGAAAAAAAGCAATAGTTGAATTTTATTTTAAGCTTTTGTTGCACTGCACAGAAATATTGGTTTTTATTAACTTTTGAACAACAGGGAGAACTGGGAGTTATTGATGACTATAGAGGTCTTATGCAGGATTGATGGTACCCTGTTTGGCATAGAAAGTATAAATGATGGGGGTAGTAACCAAAGTCCCATTCAGACCACCAGACTTTTCCTTCATGGTGTTTTGAAATGTAAGAGGGCTGAATCTCACTTTGAAACCAAACTCTTAAACTTTTATTGGCTTGACAACAATTTGCTAGTACCAAGTTGCTTGCCCATGAGTATACCCAGTTGAGGTCAATTTTAAGTCATGTCTGCACATTCAGAATCAAGATATGCATCATCATAACTACATTTTATCATCTGAAAAGGGTCCACCTCACAAAAGAAGTGAGAATACAAAGGAAAGAGTCAGCACAAGTGTCTACATGTCATCCTCTTCCTTCTTAACATAAGCCTTATTTTCTGAACTGACGTCAGGGCTGTAACTCACAAATAGGTGCACAAACACTTATTGTTAGCAGATTAGCTAACGTTAGGCTCAAGTGTCCTAAAAATCACACTTTGTCTTTGATAACAGTTGGATTCCATTCCAAGTGTCTGAGGCCAACAATGTTCAAACCACTTCAAAGACCTTTTCACTAAAGCTGGCTAACTGTAGCTAACAGAGGCTAACTGCAGCTAACAGAGGCTAGCAGCTAATGGCGGTAAAAACCTCAGTGCTTGCCAACAGAAAACTTCAGGATATCTTTAACAGCCACCATAACTAGGATTATCTAATTGAATTGGGAAAGGCAAGAAAGTAGAATTCAGCAGTCTCCAGTCTACTGGTGGTGAGATTTAACACACTGTAACTTTAACAGTCCCAGGAGTGATAAAAAGCCGTGGTTGCGTGCACTTCCACCATCGACACTCTGTGGACTGATTTTTTAAAAGTTTTTGGAAGGTTTACATCGTGTTACATCTGTGCAACCAATGCAGCATTTCATAAAACATCATACCAACAGCCAAGCATGGTGGTGGCAGTGTGATGCTCTGGGGCTGCTTTGCTGCTTCAGCAGGACTCCAGCCATGAATTCTGCTCTCTTCCAGAAAATCCTGAAGGAAAATGTCTGGCAACCAGTTCATAAAGGTCAAGCTCACTTGGGTTATGCCAGG